AATAACTAGGTTTACAGCATAGGACGTGAAATGGTAGGTGGAAGTATCAGCTGTGGCCAACCACAGAAAGTTTTTTATTAGAATGCAATCAGAATCTGGTAGCCCTTAGGTTCTATCTGCATATTGGTTTAATTAAGCCCACAATATTTTAACAATTTTTGAAATAGTTGTCCAGGACTTTAAAATTGGAAGATGTTGTATAAAAATGAGAATATCGATTTTTGAAAAAATTACAACTTCAAAACCCTGCGCCCACAGTCCCATTTTGCAGTATTGAATTGGAGTGAAAGAGTAATTGTGCCTTTAAAAGGTCTACACCTTTCAGTCTGCCTCAAACCCCTGCAGAGTCCTTTATTCATTTAAATTATTTCCCTGGCCCTTACCAGAATTTGACTTTGAGGTTTAAATGAACAGCATGTTAATAAAATTAACTTTTTAAAATTGTTTTTAGTGTAAACCTAAATATTAGTTATCAGTAATATTACTATTATTATTTTCATTTTAGAACAGCTGAATAGATTTGCCGGATTTGGTATTGGACTTGCAAGGTAATGTTTTATCTAAAGACATTTAAAGCTTTTATTGATTTAATTTAGATTTTTTCTTAAATGTGTAATATCAAATGATTATTATTGCTTCCTTTAGGTTGTTTCTTTGAAGCAGTAGTTTAAATTTTGAAATATTTTGCAGAAAAAACATCATTATTTAAAATATATAATTTGATAGTTTTTCTTGTAAAGATAGACTAGTCATCCAAATTTATAAACACAAAGTAACTTTGTAGTGAGTATTGTAACTGCTTTCATGGGTCTATCCGAAGAATAAAATGAAATGTACTCTTATCTCTCTCTCATCAAAAAAAGTAATTTCGAATGAGGTTCATGAAGATCTAACGTCTCTGCTGATAGGAACTTTGTTCATAGGACAATTTCTGAAAGACATAAAAATTACATGGCATTTAATGATGCCATTTAATTGATGTGTAATTTCCACATCAAACACAGAAATCTAGTTTCATTGTATACTATAAATATTAATATTACATATTATGTATTGTTTCCCTTATTTACCCGTTTGCAGATCTGATTTTCATTCTTTTCATGGGTCTGTCCAAAGAATAAAATGCTATTTAATTGATGTTTCATTTGTCACATTAAACATACAGAGATGTAGTTTTATCTTATACTATAGATATTAATATTATGTATTATATATTGTTCACCTTATTTACCAGTTTGGAGATCTGGTTTTCTTTCTTTTCATATCGAATTTTATTACTGGTAAAATCATTGGCAAACACTTCTAGACATTTTTAAATATCTAGATTTTTAAGATTTTTTTTTTAAGAAAGGAGAACATAAAATAATGCATGATTCTTCAGGCAAGAATAACTTTAGAAAGATACATGTTGTAAATTTAATTTGTCTCTATGTAGACACATATATACATAAATTATTTTTATATAGTCTCTTTACAGAAAATGTATTGGCACATCCTTGCATTGTTCTACGCCGTCAATGTCAGGTAAATGTAATTTCTGTGATCTTTTGAAGCAATAATTCTGACCCTAATATGAAGGGCAGAACTCACATAAATGACATGAAACCGAGTAGTCATTACTTCATGTGAAATGTTCCAAACTTTTTGGTCTCAAAACCTCTTTAAAGTCTTAAAAAATAGTAAGGATCCTAAATAACTTTGATTTATGTTGGTCATATCTATTGGTATTTTCCATTTCAGAAATTAAAATTGGGAAAATTTCAATGTATCTATATAATTCAGTAAGGTAATTTTATGAAAGTAACTATTTTGCATTTTTGCAAATGTCTTTAATATCTGACATAATAGGAGACAGCCAGTTTCTCTCATATGCTTCTGCAATCAGTTGGTTGCATTACGTGGTTTTTGAAAGAAGCAAGGAAGTTTAGTCTTGTACACATGTGTAGTTGAAAGCAGGAAGGGAGTATTTTATATTCTTTTGAGATAATTGTGGGTATTCTTTGCAATTGCACCAAAACTCACTGTGTGGTAGTTCTTAAAGGTTATTTGCAATGTGAAATCAGAAATCATTTTAGTGAACTTTTTGTTACATAAAAAATCCATTTATCTACACTGCATCTTGAATAGCTATTTTTACTTATGCATGATTCCATATACTTGTATATAGATTATTTGAAATATATTGACTAATTGAGTTACATAGATCTTTGAGATGTTAAAACATTTGATTATAAAATATCAAAAAATCATCTTCATTAAAACCACTACTGATCTCACTAGAAAATCTTTAAGTATTGGCAGCTCTCAATGGTGGATATAGATTTTCCAAAATTCTGAGTTTTACTTGAGAACTCAAACTTATTATTGACAATAAAAGTTGTTAGTTATTTTTGTTTTAATCAACATTCTAACTTTGTTTATTTTTTAAAATACGTCTGTTCCAGTGGTGAATAGGTATAGTCTGTCAGTGAGTTTTTCTAAGTAAAAATGATGTTCCATGACAAAAGTGGCTAGTTCAGCTTGCAATTCCATCATAGAAGTGCTTTTCTCATACCAGCTATCTTACTTCCTTATGTAACATACAGGATATTAATTAGAAAGAGGATGTGTACTCAAAGGTCAAGGATTCATAAAATCAACATTTTGTTACTGCATTATCGAGGGTATTCGTATATGAAGGTGGCTTTTTGCTTACTATGGGTAAAAAAATGTTTGCTAAAATGAGCACGAGTTGGGAGATGTAATTCAATTCTTTAAGGCAATACAAATGTCAAATAAAACCCTGTGTATTATATAGCTTACATTATTATGTGTATTATACATGATCATCAGACTATATTTATGTTACCATATGCACTGCACTTTTAATGTGTTATTTAAAGCACTTTTAAGAGTAATTTTGCTTATGTATAATTTATGTTGACTTTGGAATTAACTTTTGTTTATGCTGCAGTTCTGCCATATATCTTTGATGGCCTTGTTATTTCTTAACATTAACAGAAAAAAATCATGAAATTTTTTGCAGGTTAATTACCATGCTCAGCATTACCATCTCACTCCATTTACAGTCATCAATATAATGTACAGTTTCAACAAAACTCAGGTGAGAATTTTGTCTATGGATTCTGTTAAAGGTTTATGTAAGTGTCATTGGGCTTAGTAATCATTAACGCAAGAACAATTACTTTCAATTTAGTTAATAAAACATCTTAACTGTTGTAGTAAAACTAATGTAGCACAACAATATGTTTTGAATCTTCCAAAATTTAATTTAGCAAAAGTACAAATTAATTAATTTAGCAAAACCACAAAGAGCTGAGCTAAGACGGTGTCTCTGCTATCAAGAGGCTCATGTTTATTCATGGAGACAAAATCTTAAACAGGAGATTGTGGTGCAATAAGATAAAGGCAATATTAGAAGTACGGAATGCTGTCAGTATACAAAAGAGAAGTACCGTATCAAAACTGGGATTGGGCACAGTGTATGACTGGGAAAAACTTTGGGAGAAGAAATGCCTGTTGTGTGCTTATTGTCGAGAAGGCTCACTTCATGATGAGGGTAGAGAAAAGGCTTTTAAAGTAGATGTGTGAAGGCAGAAGACAAAGAGAGATCATAAAGTTTTGGAATGGATTTAATGTAGTACAATGGGAGCTTGAAGTGGGGGCTGAAGAGTAAGAGAGGGTTGAAAAAGTAGCCAGAGAAGTAAGCAGGATCCAGATCCTAAAGCACCTCCTAAGAACTGCACACTGGATCCTAAAATCTACAAGAGTACTGTTGAAGGTGTTTTAGCCATGACCAAAGTATCTTGAATAACTTTGGATTGTTTGACAATATCTATCAAAATTTAAAATACATGTGTTCTTTGACTTACTAATTTTACTTCCAGGAACTTATCCCACATAAATGTTCACATATATATGCAAAAATGTATATACAGGGAGGTCCTATGACATGGCATACAATAGATTGGAAATGATTAAATGTCCATCACTAGGTACCAGTGAAATAATTATGGCATATTACGGTGAAACACTTGGTAACCTTTAAAAATAAGAGGGTAGCTCTGTGTATATTGATGTGAAATGATCTGGGATATTTTTTATATTTCAACATAATACCACCTGTTAAAAATAAACAAAACAAAAATATTTCTATGACATACACACAGAGATATACTTGTATATGCATGGATTATCTTGAGGATAAATTTTAAAACTGCTGCTGGGGACTGAGATGAGAAGGAGACGAACTTTTCAGCTGGTACCCTATTGCTTCTTTTTAATTGTATCATGTCTATTAATAACATAGATAAATAATAGTATTATTACCGATGGTATTATGCAAAGGGGCAAAACCAGAGACAGTGAAACTTGTAGTCAAAGTGATATAAAGTAATAGTGTTAAGTATGGAGAAGAGCATGGATTTGTAAGATACTAAGGGAGTAGAATTTATAGAATGTAGTGACTGATGAGATAGGAAGAGTGAGAAAAAATGTTTTCTGAATGGTTTGGACACTAGGATGATGAAGCTGCTGTCAAGGGAGATAGGAAATACAGCAGAGAAGGAAAGAATTGGTGTAGTATGAGTGAGTATGATTGAGTTAAGATGTGGATATGTAAGTTTCAGGTTACCTATGTGTCATTCATAGGACAGGACTAGTAGGGAGTTGAATATATAGATATTAGGGATATTTAATAAATTAATTAATCATTAGGGGTTTAATTAACTGGAATGTTCTTTTTGGCCTAAACATAACTTTAAAATGATAGAAAATTAATTTAATTATAGTTCTCTACTAATTGGAAAATTTCTATACAATATCAAGTTTTATTAAGATCTTTTGTGTTTCAGATGTACTAACAGAAATAACAATAAATTTTGTCCCTTTTAGGGACCTAGAGCCCTGTGGAAAGGAATGGGAAGTACATTTATTGTCCAGGGAGTCACACTTGGAGCAGAAGGCATAATTAGTGAATTTACACCTTTGCCAAGGTACCTTTTTTAGCATTTCTTGAGTATTAGTTTCATGTTGTGTTTTTTTGTTTATTTGTTTTTAGATTCATGGGGTACATGTGCAGGCTTGTACATGTGCATATTGGGTGATGCTGAAGGTTGGACATCTAATAATCCTCTTACCCAACTAGTAAACATCGTACTCAATAGTTACTTTTCAACCCTTGTCCCCATCCCTCCCGTTATATTATTTTAATAAAATACGATAGTTTCCAAAACTGTCTTGAATCTGAAAACTTGTCTGAAGTAACTAAAAGAAGAAACAAAGAATAAAATTAATTATATCTTATTAAATTAATATGTGATAAAGAAAACGTGTCTTGGTTTAGTATCTATTGAGATGTATCTTTCAGCTTCTGCTGCTATGTGCCAGCACCTGCCAGCTGAGGAACAAATGTGGGTATGTGAGCAATTCTGCTCTTTAAGTACTCAGTTTAATTTAGGAGACACATGTAAGCAAGAAGAGGTAACATGCCCATTGTCATGGGATTGGACAGTCTAGGTAATAAAAAGAAGTGTCTTATACTTAAAATACTGGGTATGTATGAAATGGAATATTAGGAAAAGAAACTGAGGTGCTAGATTAAAATATGATTGTGCCTTTGTAAGTTTATTCTCTATGGAGTTGGGAATTTATTTCTTTTTTTTTTTAAATATATAGATGTTCTGATCAAGATATACTCAAAGGCAATGTAAAATAAATGGACTAGTATAGATAGATTTGTGGAGATCTATTATAATAATCTAGGCAAGACTGAGAAGGTTCTGAACTGTGGAACGGAACAGAAAGGGTTGAGCTGAATAGACATTTCTGAAGTATAATGGATGATCATTATGTTAGCTTGGTAATTAGGGATATGAGAGAATGAGTTGTCAGTAGTGACTGAGATTTCTAGATTGGAAAATGTTAACCAAGATAGAGAATTCATGAAGAAGAATAAGTTGGAATAGGGAAGAAGATAAAGAATTTATCTTTCAATGAATGAAGTTTGAGATTCTTGGGAAGGGGACATGACTAATATTTGGTTGGAACCATGGATCAGAGTTAAAAAAAAAAAAAATGAAGCAGAGGCAGAGCTTTGAGTGTTATAGCGTAAAAGTAGCAACTGAAGCTTAGGATAGATGAAATTACCTAAGGAGAAAGCGTAGGTTAAATGAATAAACTGGACCAAGGACAGAATCCTAGGCATACGTGTGTGTGTGTGTCTGTGTGTGTATTGTGAGAGTTGGGGGAAATAATTAGAGAAATTAGAGGGTTTGTGTGTGTGTATATTGTGAGAGGTAGTTGGGGGGAGATAATTAGTGAAATTAGAGATGCCTTTAGAACAAATTGGAAATAGCATAAGATGTAGGACAGCCATGTTCTAGAAACCAAAAATGGGAGACTTAGAATTGTAGATACATTTGGAGAGAGAGGGTAGAGAAATTGGGCAATTTGCTTTTGGATCTCTATTTTCTCTGTGAAACAGTATACAGGGTTATTTGGTGAAAAAGGATAAGCACTGGGGTTGTAGAAAAGCATGAGAGGCATGATACGTATTTCAGACAGTCACAATGATGGGTAACAAAGGAATCTTACAAAGGGTATATGAAAGGAAAATTAGAAATTTTTAAGGTGCTATTTGGCATTACTCTGTGATTTATCTATATCAGCACTATATTTTTGTCTGTCATTCCATGGATAATGTTAAAAGCAATGGTTTGTTAATCCAAAGTTATTCTCTGGCAGGGTGAATTTTTTGGATTGTTAAAGAAGTGAGATAGTTGAGGGCATAGCTACTAGTGTATCAGCTATGCCAAGGTTGGGATTTAGTCCTTAAAGGGAAGGAAATGAAAGCAAGAAAAACTGATATTAAGCTTTTTTCCAATGTGATTGCTTTCAAAGGACCTTATAGTCTTTCAGTGTCTTAAATACAGCTTTGCTAAAAGATTTGAAACAAAACAGAGATTAGAAAGGTCAGCAACATTTGGGCAGCTCAAAGTTTCTTATTTTATTCTTTAAAAGTCTGTATTTCTTTGTTTGGCTAACTATTCACGTTATTGCTTTTATATCACTAGATAAGATCATAAGTTAATACTTACAATCAAATATTCTTGAAATTCTCTAACAAACAATTCTATAAAAATTTAAATGTAGGAAATTCCATTTGGTAGAGTGAAAAAAATTCAATGCAGTTGTTCCTTGTATCTGTTGGGGAGTGATTCCAGGACCTCCAGTGGATACCAAAATCCACAGATGCTTAAGTCCTTTATATAAAATGGTGTAGAATTTGCATACAACCTATGCACATCTTCCTGTATACTTTAAATCATCTCTTGATTACTTATAATACCAAATACAATATAAATGCTATGTAAATAGTTGTTAAACTGTATTGTTTAGGGAATAATAACAAGACAAAAACTCTGTACACATTCAGAACAGATACAACTATCCTTTTTTAAATAAATATTTTAAATTCACAGTTGCCTGAATCCATGTGTGTGGAACCCATGGGCATGGAGGGTTGACTATATTTGCAGTCAGAGCACTATTTGTTTAGGTCCTGGCTGTTCCACTTTTTATTTCTGGGACCTTAGGCAAGTAATGTTGCCTCCCTAAAGCAGAGATGAAGGAATAACATTAATTTCAGGTCAAAGGGAAGAAAAAAGAAAAATAGGAATGGGAAGGCATAGGATTTTATAAAATTTTATCATCTAACTTTCTTACTCAGTAGACAAATAGATATGTCAATTTAGTGGAAATATATTTTTATCATTTTGAATCTTACTAAAGAAGACAAAATAGTAACCTCTATTGTATTGTCCTACTTGGATAATTCTGGTGGTAAATCCCACTCATTAATTCATTCATTTACTTAGCTGGCATTTCCTGAGTATTTACTGTGTGCCAGGTTCTATGCTAAAAACAAGGTTAACAAAAAGGAAAAGAAACAAAAGATAATTGTTGCCTGGAAGCTCAGAATCTCGTAAAAGTACATTCACTAAGAAACAGTAATTCTATTTATGAATAATTACAAATTGAAATTTATTTTCTGAAGGAAAAGAATGTAGTTCTATAAAAGTATTAAAGGGTCTGTAACAGTGTCCTTAGTAACGTGACACTTAAGCTAGATCAGAGTGGTAATTAGGAGGTACATACCGCTTTGTGGAAAAATGCTGTGGCAGTGGGGAGCATATAGAATTCAGATAACAGAGAGAAGGCTCATATGGCTGGAGGTCTGGCCAGGGGCAAGGTACAGAGCAGGTGGGAGCCAGAACATGTAGGCCATTTTAAGAATATTGAAGAGTTTCAGTAGGGTTAGTGACATCAGATTTGTTTTCAAAGGGTCATTGTAACTGTAGATGAAAAGTTTGCATGAGGACCAAAGGGAATAAAAGGAGACATCTTAGTATGCTTATAACAATAATAAAGATGAGAAATGATAGTGGCTAACATCCGGGTGGTGTCTTCTGAGTGGACAGTTTTGAAATATACTTAGGTCAAATTGAGGGAATTTGGTGATGCTTTCGGAATGGTAGATGAAAGAGAAGGCAGTATCAAGGATGATTTCTCATATTTGGGGTTGCGTAACTAGATGTCAAATGAAGCTGTTTTTTTGAAGTATAGCGTGAATATCTTTTAAAAAATTATTTATTATTCTTTGGCAGGTTTGACCTTTACTATCTATGGGAAGAAGGCAGATTTATGGCAAACAAGGTCACAAAACATTAACTAAAAGCAATTCATAGAAGCTACTACATGAGAAGGATGAGCTCTGGGGTCTCCTAGCCTGGGGTTTCTTAATTGCATAACAATTACTAGGTAGAACAGGTGAGATAGTCTAGATTTGCCAATGTTTAGTTTTTTTATACAGTTTATGATCAAATCAGAGAGAAAAACAGCAGATCTTTAGTGTTCATTAAATCAGCAAATTTATAATTTCTCAGTAGTATTACTTTTTAACAAATTGTATATTACCCAGGATCATCATCTGTGATCTCTTTATCTACTGCTAAACGCTTCCCAGTCCTCTCTCCCAGTTGGAGTGAGTTAAACCATGTGTTGTTCTACCCCACAGTACCCTTTACCTAATTTACATGTGGCTTTTTTCATACTGTTAATGTGAGGTAGGAGTTCCTGTAACCAAGACTACTGTGTGGTTCAGTCTCTCAGAAAACTGATTTGGTTCAACTCCAACTTAGTTTTGACTCATCACACATTTGTGGTTATACCACTGTAAACATCTTGTAGTCTTCCTCCAACAGTTCCCTCTGAATTTGCTTATTTTAAACATATGTTATTTTAAATACAATGAAATCTTCCTCAAATTCAATAGATTTCCTTTCTGATTAACAGTTCCTGAGTAGGGAACACTAAAAGAGTTTAAGCAGAAAAGAAAGATTTTAAGTTTGACTTTAGGACAAGTGCATTTTCAGGTCTTTTCTCATATCCAGGTGGAGTTGTCTGTAGGCAAATGATATGGGGCTGACATATATAGAAGTCTTAACTGAAGGTAAATTAATTTGGGAGGCTTTGAAGCTGTAACCTTAGATGTGAGGGTCCCTACAGAATAGGGATACCCTATGGTGGAAGAAGAGGGCCTGAACCTTAGGACTGCAACAAGGGGTGCTGGGTTAGAAAATGTGACCCTGAAAAGGAGTCAGGAGAGACCAGAAGGCAGGATAAAAACCAAAAGAGAATGGGCTAGTGGAGTACAGGAGAGTGCTTCAAGGAGTGAGGAACACGAGGCTCTGATGGCTGCTGAAATGTCAAATAAGGTAGAGAATTAAAAATGTCTATCAGATTTAATGACATGGAGATTACTGGGGACTTTGGCAAGAGCTGTTTTTATTCCAAGCCAATTTGGAGTGGGTTCAGAGGTGAATGGGAAAGTACGGATGTGGAAACAGCAAGTTGAGGAAGTTGGTTCTGACTAGGATAAAGAGAGGTAACTGGAAGATGAGTGGTTCAGGGTAGGTTCAGGAAGATTTTTTTTTTAAATGATGTTAGCTATTTGACCATTTGAAAATTAAAGACTGCTGAGATACACAGTTATTTTAGAATTGTATTGCCTTTTTGTGTGGTTATGCATAGGAGTATGTATTTTGTTCTGTTAAATGAAAAACTAAACTGTTTTGAGAAAAGCAAGGTACTATAATAAATTTTGTTAATGTTTTTGCTCATTAGCAAGGACATTTTTATGTGAAAATCGTTAATTTAGATATATTTACATGTTTTATATTGGGTAATGAATTATAAAAAGGTTTAATCACAAGTTTTTAGGCTTAACCTCTACTGAAGCTTTTAAGCATGCTTACTTAAATTTCTAGACTGTAACAGTAAGCTTTACCCATTTTATAAAGTAGTAGAGAACAAATACAAGGAAGAGTCCCAAAAACATTTTTTAAATACTTGGTTTTAAGTCTCCTTTTCTTGTATCTTAATGATCTTAAGAATTGGCAGTAGTCATCAAAGGGGAGGTAACTCAGAATTACAGTTGTATTTAAAGGGGAGGCTACCCAGTCTTTAGTGTTTAGGACAGTTTTATATTTAAAATTGGTGTTATCATAAACTGTGATAATACTTTCTGAGGCCATGAGTATTAGCTGTGCCAAGATGATTTACAAAGCATGTAACATATTTTGTTGTATAATCATAAAGTGACTGTCAGTAAGATGGGAGGCCTAATCTGTTTTCTATATTTTTGACTTAATCATTGAATAATAGCATTTCAGCTACATTTTCTGTGTTGTTCAGGCCAAATAAATATCCTAATATTAATGTAATGAAAGTCTGGCCCAGAAGGCGCTCTAAGGTCTTAGAAATCAGGATTAGTTGTTCTGTTGTCTGAAAGTATCTGATGTTTGTACTCCTTTATATGCTGTTGTTTTTCAAATTCAGTCATTTGAAATAGAAAACATTTTTCTAGATTTCTGCTGTAGCCATGATGGAATGGGTACCAATTCCATCAGAGGAGCTGGTATAGCAAGTCTCATCTTCATTTTGCACTTCCCTTTGTTGTTGTTGTTGTTGTTGTTCTTTTTCATTTTTCTCCTATCTCCCCTGCCTTTTCTTTTTTTTCCTCTTATTTACTTTTTTTCTCTCTAAAATCTTGTCCCTTTTTTGACTTTTCTTTGATAGAACTTATCCCCTTTTTTCCCCTTTGTTCTATTTCAGTTTGTCTCTTTGTTTCATCTTTTCTTATCTTTTTTTTTTTTTTTTTTTTTTGCCTTTTCTTTTCCTTTCTTTTCTTTCCTTTTCTGGTTTCCAAAAGTAACCTCATAGCAGACAGAATGCACACAACCCTAGATGTTGGTTCCAAACCTGGCATTTTGCCTGTTTCCTTTGAACATTTCCGTGTAATCTTTTTGACCCTGATTTTTCTCATCAATAAGACAAATGTGACAATATCTGCTCTCCTTATCTTACAAGATTCCTCTTTGTATCAAATAAGATGAGAGGTAGTACAGGCAGAGAGGACCAAGGTTTAGAACACAGTTCCACACTAACTGGTTACTTGGCTTTGAATAAGTTATTAACCCCCTCTGATTCTATCTTCTCATCTATGAAATGGAGAAAATAGGGTTATTATGAAGATTAGAAATACTTCATGCAAAGCACTTTGCATAATCATTGCATTTAGTAGGTGCTCATGGAGATAATAGAATATAATAATGGTCAAAAAATTAATTGTACTAAGTAAAGATACTTTGACATTAAGTACTACATAAATGTAATGTGTCAGCCTGTATTAGTTACTTAATTTTTTTTTATTTCTCCTTCTTAAATACTTTGTAAAGACTTTTTTAAATCCTGTTCTTTGTTTCCCTATCTGTTCTCTTTCTTTTAACCTACCATCTTAATTTTCTTTCTTTAATTTCTCATGTTTACTTTCATAATCAGTTGTGACTCTTGCTTTTCTGTCAGCCCGTTCTATCAGCACATACAGAAACACCTTACATTTTTTATTTTCTCTTAAACCATCACAGTTGTTTACAGTATGTTCCAGAAAAGAAAATGTTTACCATTAGAATATATTTCTCCCATAGATTTAAAAAAATTAGAAGTTGATTACTGTTTTGAAGATTGAGCTAATTCCAGATGTTTTAAATGTCGTTGCTTTGGTTTATTTAAGTTCATTTTTATGTTTTAGGGAGGTTTTACATAAATGGAATCCTAAACAAATAGGAGAACACCTTCTACTGAAATCGTAAGTATCAAAAAAATGGCATTTTATTTTACATTTTCACTAATTTTTATATTAGTGGAACTGGAAACAAATCTTATTAAACAACTGCAGAAAAAGAAATTAGAGCAGTGAAATGTTTGTGGGACTAGAACTTCAAAGGACAAGTAACAGAGTTTAGGAATAAATCCTGAAATACGTATCATCTTTATTAATCTTACTAATTTGAAAGGCTGGAATCACAGACTAATTTTGTGTGTGTGTTCTTAGGAAGTTAGCATAAATCTTCCATTTATTTAACCCAAATTTTCAAGGAAAGTATTACTATTTTATTGTTAATCAGATACAAATTTATTTCTATGGTGAT